AAGCACCAAGATCTAAACAGTGGATGGTAAACAGTCAATGTATGACAGCTTCTGATTATTGATTATTGATTGAATCAACTCCATATAGAACATAGCTCTAGAGTTTATACACTGATTATTGATTATAGATTTAACTAGAGAAAGAGCTTCAGTCTAAAGTGTGTTCGTCCTGCAGGGCTGCGACTATTCGAGTGTCCAGGAAGAAGGGGGGCAGTGGGAGTTCCTCTCCACAGAGTGCCGTGGTCCGATCCAGCTGGCTGGACGTCTGGAAGGGCTTCAGGTAACATCATCTTCATCATCATCATCATTACTGTTTCTCAGAAATGCTGCTGTGGATTCAGTCACCATTAACAGTCCTCACAGACTGTTACTGGTAGCTGGAGTCCGATCCATAAACACTGACAGTCTGTTAGTTAATGAATAATAAAACAACAGGACCCAGGACGGATCCCTGAGGAACATCAGACCAGTTTTAGATGGATGGTTGAATAAAAGGATGAATGATGAAAGGATTATGGCAGGATGATAATCGAGACAGATAAACGTTCTCTCTCTCTCTCTAACAGACACAATGTTTTATGGGCAACGTTGGACGGACAGCTGATGTCTCTATGGAAGAAACGCACAGTAAGTCAGTATCTCTCTACCTGTCTCTCTCTACATACCTGTCTCTCTGTCTACCTGTGTCTTCCTGCATACCTGTCTGTCTGTCCGTGCAGTGATGGGTGTGTTTGTTTTGTTGATCAGGACCGGTTCAGTGAGGTGCTGTTTCATGTCTCCAGTATCACCAATGTGAAGAAACAGGACAAAGGCAGATTCTCTGTTTACTTCAGGAAGAAACATTATGACTTCATGGCTCATAATGATGGTGAGAAGAGTCGAGCAAGTGCTTGCTCATGGTGGTACTGTTGGGTCTCTGTAATAATGTTATAAGGAGTTCGGTCTTGACCTGCTCTTTTTGAATGACATTTGTGTCCTGAGATAACTTCTGTTATGAATTGGTGCTATACAAATAAAATTCAATTGAACTGAATTGAATTGCAGCCAATGCAGCAGACGACTTCAGCAACATTTCTTTCTCCTGTTCCGTATTTATTCTGTTTAGTTAAGCACTGCTTTAGGTAAACCTTATAGGATAACTTAAACACAAACAGTAGGATAGCACCATCTTCATCCTTCTCCTCCTCCTCCTCCTCCTCTTCAGCTGCTCAGTAAAATAAATTGACAGTAGCTGCTTTTACTGCCAGCTCCATCTGTGATATTAATATTTACCTTCATTCTTTCTTCTTCTGTTAATCAACCGTGAACAACAGCCTTCAGTGCTCCTCTCTCCTCCTGCTTTATATTCATTTGCCTGGTAATAACACTGGAGAATATTCCACTGATATTCAATTCAGCTGGAGTTCAGACTGTAATGTTGTGATAAGTCTCCACAGCGCTGTGTCCAAGCTTCTTCAGTGTGACCAGTCAGCATACTTATATTTCTTCTTCTTGTCTCTCAGAGGTTCAGGAAGGTTGGATTTCGTCTCTGTTGGCGTCTCGAGGCCAGCAAAGTCCCGCCCCCCCAGAACTCCAAGGACAAATCACCATCAAGGATCCGCGGAGCCGCGTCTACGCCGCCGTCTGGGGTCACAAGCTCTGGATTTATCCCAACAAGGAGAGTTTCCAGCTGGGCATCGCCTCCTTCTCTGTCCCCCTGAACGTGGCCACGGTCAAATCCACTGGAAAACACTCGTTCACCCTCATCACTCCATATAAGAGTTTCAAGTACACACCTGTCTGTCTTTACACCTGTCTGTCTGTTGCTTTCCTTTACTACAGTGATATTAAGTCCTAAATGTTTTTCTTTCTTTGTCTTTCTTCTTTGTTTTTACCTTTTTGGCCCCGTCCACTGTCTCTATGTGGCTCCACCCTCTGTCTGCAGCCTCTCTGTTGATTCATCAAAGGATCTGTCCCACTGGTTGGATAGTCTGTCCTCTTCCATCCAGAGTGCTCTGTCCTGCAGCCAGGTGGCGCTGCGTCTTTGGGAAAACCCCGACAACAAGGTGTGTGCCGACTGCGGCTCGGCCAATCCTGAGTGGGCGTCAGTCAACCTGCTCCTTGTCATCTGTCAGGCCTGTGCAGGTAGGAGCTAACGGAGGACTCAGGGAGGACAATCCTGGGTTCACCTCACCTGTGCAACCCTGTTTGTAGTCCCCAGATACCAGACCTTCGTCTACCAATCGACTGGCATTTCTAAATATGAGGCAGCTGCTTGAATACAGCCGCTAACAAACCTGTGCCCCTTACATGTTTTTAGAGATACGTCCAACATGAAGAGTTGTCATTTAGATTTCTTCTGCAATGCAGCTGTTAATAATGAAAGCTAGGAGACAGTCCTCAGTGCGTGTGTGTGTGTGTGT